GGGGGATAAATAATAGATTATTTGGAGAAATCACGCAGTCCAGTACGTAGTTTGTGCCCATGAAAATCTTGACCTTACAACGAGAGATAAGGACAGATTTCCTATGTTTAGTAAAATATGATATGGCCATGTAATCCTGTCCTCAATCCAATACAATAGAGTATCATATCTTCTACCTGTATTCATGTGTGTTATTGTAACCCTATATATGTTCCCAATATTCCTTTGATGTTATTAGGAAACTTTAATCTCAAGAAAGGTACCTCCACCTATCCTTTAAAATCATTCATTCATGAGAGTAGCTATCTATTTACACATTGATTACTCTTTACATAATTTAGCAATAACCAAAAGCTGACTAATAAAACAAACAATAATTCGCGTAAAAAATGTAAAAGATTTACTTGTATAAATTATCAGAGCAATTTATACCGCCAATCATGCACACACATGCATATATATAATTGTCAAAACATGTTAGGCTTGTCATTACTAGTATCTGCGTACTATTCACATTTCTTTCTTCTCTTCTTTTAGACATTCTGACACTATCCTTCACCAACAAAATACAAAGATAACTATAGATATTAATATGCCCACAGTCGGCAGTACCATCTATCTTATCCCTTTCTCTCTTCTATTTCTCCTCCCCCCCCCCCCCCCCCCTCGATTTCTGTTTTCTATTTTGGTTCGACCATAACTTCTACTCCCTGGGTTCCAATTTATGTGAACCTGTTTGACTGGGCACGAAGTTTAAGAAAAAAATGAAGACTTTTGGAATTTGTGGTTATAAACAAGTCAAAAAGGGGCCCAGAGTATTTGTGTGGTTATAATAGCTTCTTATTAAGGGTAAAATAGTAAGTTTAAGCTAAATTGTTACCAAATTTAGAAAGGGGTCATTCTTTGAACGGACCAAAAAGGAAATAGGTTCACAAAAACTGGAACAGAGGGAGTATATACTAATAAGTGTAGTTTTATGTTATCAGGTTAGGATGACATACATGTACTTGTGGTCTATAGTAATCTTAATTTAGTAATCTGAAAGTATAATAAGTTGTTATAATTGGTTAAAATATATTGATAGTGTAAAATCATTTCATAGAAATTAAAACTTTAAATTCTATGCACTAACGATGTAAAATATACTATGTATTAATACTATCAGATTACTTATAACAGGGGCGGATGTATAGGTAAGATGACGGGGCACGTGAACTCATGGTCTCTTGGCAAAATTAAATATTTTATGTACATATTTTCTAAAATTAGTATAATATTAACTGTTGGCAATCATGCTCCAAGAAGGTTGAATGGGACACTTGGTTGAATGTTGTGTTATTTATCTAGAGGAATGGGGATTAATTCCATTTAATAAAAAAAATTCTTCCTTTTTTTAGTTGTGCGCTCATGTACTAAAGTCCTAGACCTGCCTCTGACTTATAAGGTAATTAAAGATAAATTTGACAAATCATAACTACTAATTAGTAACTTAATAAAATAGTATTAATGTACACCAATAATATAAAATATTTTATATTGTCAATTATATAACTTAAATCCATAAATTTAAGGGGGGGGGGGGTTGGGCTTCACTTGTGCGAGAAAATATTTTATGTTCGCTAGCCGAAAAAATATAAAATATATATAATTTTTGTATATAATATATAAAATATATATACATACAAAAAATATATACATTCTCTCGATTATATTTTGAGAGCGGCTATACATTATTATTTTCCCTAAATTAATTAAATCCTTTTCTGTTTTTTCTATTGGGAAGGAACGAAAGAAAGGTATAGAAAGCCTTGTGGGCCACATCCTACATTGATTGCCAGCTGAAGGCCGAAAGGAGCGCTTACAAATACCCCTTAAAGCCTTTCAACTCCCTCCCCTGTATCTCTCATATCACCTCTGCTCTGCTGAAACTGCTTTTCTTCTCCTAGGCATTATCACAAACACTTAAATCAAACTTCAATTGCAGCCAAATTCTCCATGTCTAGACCACAACAACGATATCGTGGAGTCCGTCAACGACATTGGGGTTCTTGGGTTTCTGAAATTCGACATCCTTTATTGTAATTTCGAACTCCTTCTCTTTTTAGTATAATGTTTTTATTATCAATTTCTCTTTGAAGCTGAATTACAACTTTTTGATTGTGTAAAACAGGAAAACAAGAATATGGTTAGGCACATTCGAAACAGCAGAAGATGCAGCACGAGCATATGATGAAGCAGCAAGGCTCATGTGTGGACCAAGAGCACGCACAAATTTCCCTTACAATGATAATGATTCTCAATCACCATCGACAAAGTATCTGTCTTCTGCTTTGATAGCTAAACTACAAAGATGTCAAATGAAGTCTCTTAATATGGATAAAAGACCTGGAACGACAAAATTAGAAGTTCAAGACAGTCAGTTATATGCACCTTTGAACAGAGGAGATAATGGCATTGGCAGAAGAAATGGGCAAATGAGTGTTGATATGACAACGAATCGGGTAGATTATGAAGCAGATAGTAGTACAGAAGAATTCAAGACACTAGAAGATCATCATATAGAGCAAATGATTGAGGAGTTGTTAGACTATGGATCAATTGAGCTGTGTTCTGTTCTTCAAGATTAGGCCATGAATGCAAATGTACCACTGCTTAATTACCTTCCCTCTTTCTTTCTCTAATTTTTCACTCAGTGCCAAGTTTTAAATGTATAGTTGGTAGCTTTATTAGCATGAAATGCTCGAGGTATTTCAGTATCCATAAAATTAGTTGGATTCTTTGTTCTTCTCTCTGTGTTTGAGCATGATCATACTCCAACCTAATGAACTTCGAATTCCTAATTGGCCAGTGTGAACAAGTCAGAGTTGGGGCGGCATACTTTCTGCAAGGGTATTAATGTAATGAGTTTGTCAGTTAAAATTAAAATAATTATAAGTAGTTGCTCATAATAAATTAAGTTAATAAGCTAAAAATGAGTCAAACAGCATACTGTAATAAGTAAAATTACAGTGTATAAGCTATTTGCATGGTCACGTATTACTAGTAATATAAGTTAAGTAAATCATTTTCTCACTTTTTTTTGGACTATGCATAGTATAATAGACTACGACACAATAACGTCTACAAGAATCCAGACTTAGTTAGATCTATGACACAAATTTCATGGAAAGCTGCTTACTTTTTGACTATCTGACGCTTGATGATTAACAGCAAATTTTGGTTTTTTCTTATTTGGACTACCTGGTATTAATCTGGTGAATCAAGAATTTGCAAGGTGTTGTCCTTATTTTCTTGTCATATTTAGTTTTTTTTATCTTTCGAAGGAAATGATAATATATTTATCATAGTTGAATTTTTCTTTTTGTAAAAGGAAATTATAATTTTCTAATATTTGGCTAGTGTCTTTTCTTGTAGGAAAATATTTGAACTTCTATAAACTGAGGATCCTTCCTTCTCATTCAGGAGCATCCACTATGTAGCCATCATACTTGCCGACCATCGGTGAACTAATCGGATTAACCAACCAAAGTTGGTTTCGGTCATTATGTATTGAACAGAAGCAAAAGCCTCAGTAACGGTCGGACGATAGTAAAAAGTCATAGCAAACCCAGTAGCTACTTTTACTAAAAAACAAGTAAGCGTAATCCCCCCTAAACAATAAATTATATTAACGTGGGGAGGAACGTATTTACTAGTTATATCATCCGCAATTGCTTGAATCTCGAGATGTTCTTCGAACCAATCATATACTTTATTGAGATAGGCGTAACTCCCCTTCTAAGAACCGAATATGAGACTTTCATCTCGTACAGCTCAAGCAAAAACACCTAAATACTAGTTGCAACGGATATGGAATAGAAAGTTTTAAATTTATGAAGTTCTGATCCCATCTTCTCTGGAAAATCCAAAAGTTTGAAAGTCGTATTCAGGGGGAGAACTTTATGGGACAAGTGTTAGTGTGTCACTTTTGTTTGCATCTTCGTGAGGTTGTTCTCTCGATATTTTGTACTCTCTTTTATATAGTGGATTGCTCATCTCCGCTGTGGATGTAGGTCAATTGACCGAACCACGTTAAAGTTGTGTCTCTTTTGGTGGATTTCTCTCTTGTTGTATGATTTATCGAAGGTTTGTTTTATTAGCTTTTGCATGACACCTGATTATTTCGGTCCTAACAAAGATTCCAAGGAAACGTTTCCTGCTTTTGTAGAAATTTGTTATAGTAGAAAGCATATACTACATGAGGATTAATTTGGTTTTGTAGAAATTGGTGTTAGCAAGTATATAGAAAATGTTATACTTCATTAAAGAACATATTTTACCCAAACTATCCTTTATCACATTTATAAATATTTTACTTAATTAACTCTCCACGATAATTCATCTTCTTGAACCGAGGGTCTTTCGGAAACAGCCTCTCTATCCCATCGGGTAGAGGTAAGGTCTACGTACACACTACCCTCCCCAGACCCACTTGTGGAACTACATTGGGTTGTTGTTGTTGTTGTTGTTATTGTTGTAACTCTCCACGATAAATTGGAATAAGTAAGGGTGATTTGAAAAGAAACAAGAATTAATAAATATATCTTGATTTTCTAAACGTGAAATAATTTTAAAAATTAGTTTATCAAAACAACTAATTTTCGGAACTAGAGAGAGTAACTTATAGAGAAAGGACAAGAAAACGATTACTAGAATAGAATAGTATATACTGGACTACAGATCTAAATACTTGGAACAATCGGTCTTTCGCTTTTTTTAATTGACAGAATCAGGCAAAAAAAATCTTAGCAAGAACTTAATGGGAATATGGAATAAGTTTGTTAAAGAAATATTGTATGGTAATTAGTTCGAAACGTGGCCAATCAATAGTAGAAAGGTTTAAAGTATTTAATAGACTTGATATTAAAATGATAGTCTTGTGCTTTTCTATTTTCTGATCCATATATTCCTAGTTGTTGTTTGTTGAAGATATGAATCAAAATGTGGACGGTTCATCGGATAAATTAAAATCCCCCCTTAAAGTATAAAAGCAATATATAAGTTTTTAAGCTATTTATTTTTCCTACTTATTTTAGGATACAATAAGTTGATATGGATTCTGTGCGGTAGGCTACTTTTTTTTTATCGAAGGAACTGAGTGAAATGCTTGAGAAGCAAAATAGTACCAAATATAAGTACTTCTCTTATGTCATAAATGGGTAATCATAGACTGGTAGTAGTATCTTTTTCTTCTTCTTTGCTCCCTCCGGTCCATAATAAGTGACCAATTTGCTTTTGGCACGCCCATTAAGAAAATACTGAATTCAATACAAAAATACCTAGTATGACTAAACTACCCTTAATTAAATATTTAATGTGAGGAGTAAGAAAACTTTTAGGGATATGTACATAAGGGTAATTTTGTAAAAATAAATTAAATTTTTTCTTGATTATATAAATGGATACTTATTTTGGAACAAAATAAAAAAGTAAATTGGTCACTTATTGTGGACCGGAGGAAGTAGTATCAAGGGATTACTATAACTCATATCATGTCATTTCGATTCAAGTTGCAACTGCTTGACTTGGAATTTCATTGCTTTCATCTAAGAGTATCAAATTCAATAAATTAACTGTTATTCAACTAATACCAAATTAATCTATTATGGGTAATAAGAAGTGGAGATAAGAAAAATAAATATCTTGCAGACTGTAAATAGGAAAGGAAAAAAATAAAAATAATCACATCAATGTTTTATTTATATATTCTTGAATATTATTTCTTGATATTGTTACTTTTTTCTTCTCAAGAACCTTCAAAGAACTATGAGCTATTTAACATTAATAAAATGACACTATTGTCTTTGCCAAGTTGGGTGAAAATTGAAAATCATGATGTTCCACAAATTTTATCTAGTACATAAACATTTTATATGGTAAAAAGATCGACACAAAACAATTTCTAGATCTAGTAGGTGGGGTAATCGTGAAGGAGCGCCTTGAAGCAACAGTAAAGTTATCTTCATATAACCTATGGATTTCGGGTTCGAGCCGTAAAAGTAGCCACTAATGCTTGTTTTAGTGTAGGCTGTTTACGTTACATCTCTTAGGTCATGCAAGATGCATTGTACACCGAACTAACTTAGTAGGTCGGGGTAATCACTATTGACTGATGAACAGTGTATATTGGGCAAGTGTTGTCCGCTCCCAAGTCCCCATCTCGTCACATGTCCAACCACGTTTGTGATCTAAACTCCAAAAGAGGCTGCAACCCAATACTTCAAGTAATCCCCTGCACATGGTATTCGCCTAGTAGCAGACATTATACTCTTCAAACGGGGTTGTTTTATTGTTTCCCGTTGCATGTGGCTTTGTTGTTTTCTCATTCATTGAATTTTAATGACATGACATGCAACGAGGAAATGTCTTAGTGATGGATTGAAGAACATGACAAAGACACGTTTTTCATTAAAGTGAATTGTAATTTAAGGGGAAAATGAGAGACAAATTAATTAGAGTACTTAGCTAATCGGATTGCCTTAAAATAGAAGTACCTTTTGGAAGCAAGAAGGAATCAAATAGAAAATAAAAACTCTAATGTACAATGATTAAATAATTAATTAACAGAAATAACACAATTCTGAAAATGTTCAGCTATTATACAAAGGTTCCATCCCTGCACGTGGGATTGGGTGAGCCAAGTAGAGGGTTAGCAAGGATTAAATCGCTTAGTGGAGCGTCGTTAATAGATAGTAAGGACAATTTATGTTATTAAAGTATAATAAGGCAAGAACTCTTTTTTTTCATAAGAAAGTATAACAGATGACAAAGTTGAACACAATTAATTAATAGTTCAGAGACATATTTGAATTTAATTTAAAGAAATTTCCTTTTAGAGAGCTGAATAAGGCAATATCCGGTTAGTTGTACATGCTTTGGACATGAATACATGTTTTCCTTTACCGAGTCTCCTCGAAATAATTAATTGGGCCTGAAATACCCCGAAACTTGAAATGTTTGGCTTACTTAAGATTGGGCTGATTTCTAGACAGGGTTGCCACACTGATCAAACTAAAGTGAAACTTTGTAGGATGGCGTGGGGTAGCCACTGTTTAAGCTGGTATTTACTTTTTATCCAGCATTTTTAATGCTTAGAAATAGTAGCCACTAGTCTAATAAAATTAATATAAAAAGATTGTGTTACCCTTTCCTCCCCAAACGGAAATACACCGATGCATTCAAAACATAAAGACTTCGTATTCTCTGGTGTTTTTAACTTGAAATATGTTGTGTATTTCCCAGTTCCCAGAAGTGTTAGAGAAGAGGAGACTGGCAATCCAGCTACTGAGGTGACACTATCTAAGCAATGCTCAACTCAAGAAACAAAAACAAAGAGCCCAGGTAATTTAAGACCATTGTTTTGTGTGTATCAATATAATATTTTCTTTAGGTTTTAATTTGCGCTTGTTCACTACTGTTATGATTGACAACGATGCTTTTGATTTTGAAAACAGCTGCTAATACAAAGATTGTGGATTCTGAGTCAAATGATGATAGTAACGAAGAAGTTCCTTATGATATTGATCTAGAGATAGAAATAGTCTCGCAAAATATTGAACAGAAAACTCCTTCAGTCACTTCAGATGAAATACAAGTACTTGGTACCAAGGAAATGTAGTCTTGAAGTCCTAAAGTTAAGTTCAATAGTTAAGGACACAAGTTCAAAAGTTAAGGACAGTCAGTTCTTAACTTATAGTTACAAGTTCAAAAGTTAAGGACAGGCAGTCCTTAACTTACAATTACAAG